ATTCCTCAAGTTATCAAGTTCGTGCACGTAAAAACTCGATTTTCCGAAGTTAGAGTTTTACGCTGTGGTTGGTTGAAGTATGATTTATACGAAAGTTGCCAAAGTAGATTTTCGGATCTAAGAACTGGTCATACAAGATTTATCCGCTCGTATATCTTGAATAAAAATTCTGTGGATGATCCTCCTTGCAACAAACTTTTTCCAAACAGCTCTTCAATAATAATTTCTTTCCTGTGAAAGATAATTTGAAGTATTCCAAAAGAACTACTACTCCCTCGAAATTTTATAAAGGAAATTAAATTTTCTAAAAAGTATGATCATCGATATAATACATAAACGACTATTAATAATCAGATATTGTTTTTATGTACGTTTCGATTCACACATTTTTAATAAACATAATTATATAATCTAAATAAACACATGTTAAATGTATTACATTATACTTATTTTATATAAATTTCATCTATACAGGGTGTTCGGCCACCTCTAGCAAAAATTTTAATGAGCGATAGTAGAGGCCAAAATAAGACGAAAATCAAGAATACTAATTTGTTGATGGAAGCTTCGTTAAAAAGTTATTAACAATTAAATTCAAAAATTTCAAATCGTTCTGGAAAAATTATTTTCGGTTGCGGGGGTCAACTACAATCATTTTTGGTGAGTACACATACCTCCGAAATCCTATCTACTTTCGAGAAAAAAAATCGAGTAGGTGCTGAAATTTTTCGGCGAAAAAAAATTTTTCAAATCATTTTAAAAAAATTATTTTCGGTTGCGGGGATCAATTACAATCATTTTTTATCATTACACATACCTCCGAAATCGTACGCACATTCGAGAAAAAAATTCCTTACTGAAAATCCAATTAGGTGCCTAAATTTTTAAACGGAGAAAAAAAATTGCAAATCGTTGTGGAAAAATTATTTTCGGTTGCGGGGGTCAATTACAATCAGTTTTTGTCATTAGACATACCCACGAAATCCTGCCCACTTTCGAGAAAAAAAATAGAGAAGGTGTGAAATTATTTGAGAAAATTAAAAAATTGCAAATCGTTGTAGAAAAATTATTTTCGGTTGTAGGGTTCAATTACAGTCATTTTTGGTGAATAGACATACCCCCGAAATCTTGCGCATTTTCGAGAAAAAAATTCAGTAAGAGCGGCACTTTAAACGTTAATAACTTTTTAACGAAGCTTCCACCAACAAATTAGTATTCTTGATTTTCGTCTTATTTTGGCCTCTACTATCGCTCATTAAAATTTTTGCTAGAGGTGGCCGAACACCCTGTATATGTATGTCATATAATTACATTTATTTTGAAGACAACTGAATTCAAATAAATCAATAATTACTGATAAATAAAAGAGGATTCAAAAAGTTTTTAACATTTTGAAGAACGATTTTTATCAAATTTGTAATAATGAAGCAAGTGGATCAAATTTTCAATCCTATGTACCCTTCAATTATGTTTAAAATTAGCATTCTTATCTAGAAACATATAAGGAGACTATAATATATAAGGGTAAAAATTGCCTCACATTTATTAAAAAATATAATCAAATAGTAAACTAATCTTCCACGATATAACTATCTCATAAGTCATGTAACTTACAGTATAATTGGTATTTAAACACTGTTCCCCTGCTAATATTTCCGGTTCATGTTCCACTGATTTTGGTACTTCCGTGTGGTTCTAGAAACCACTGATTTAGGATGCCACAAGAAAAACATGAATTTCAACTTAATTTAAAAATCGTTCTTCAATTACTGTGCTTCCAATTTTAGTTTAGAAACGTAAAATCTATCGTACAATCTTTTTATTTTCTGGTTTACTGAGATTTTATTATACATATACGTGATACTTTCAAATTTTTGTACGTAATTTTGGGAGACTTTCACGTTTGTTTCTATTTATACATCCAATTATCAGGCAAAAATGATTTATTTAAATTTAATTTCCTTCGTTTAAAATAAATTTATTCCCGCAGTAACTAAATTTCTCTCTCCGGTCTAGAAGCCCATCATAAATTCAATTGAACAAAATTTCGAGATACGAATTCCTTTATCCGAAAATAAATTTATTCAGTAATAACTAAATTTCTCTCTTCGTCTCCATATCAAATAAATTTTACCAAAAAATGTGCGTGGTTCTTGTTTGGACTTTCACTATCGATATTTGATAGTTCCATTTGCCAATAAATATTATACTCTCACAAATCATTATAAAAACTACGTGTACACGTAATAGCACTTCCAGCTGAATGCCAATTACGTAAATATATACCCAGTGGGCAGCGGACGCGTTAATTTGCATTTCATATCGTCTAACCTAATGTGTTCGCGCCTTTTCGAATACAATTTTTTCCTATCGATTATCCACGAAAAAAAAAGAAAAAAATTAATAAAAAAAATATCGTTATGCACGGGAGTGCCAGTAGATCAATGTAAAACTCGACGCATGCGTTAAAATTTTTATTTCACTTAAATGATACGCGAGTAAATACCTTATCGATCGACGAGTTCAAGAATAACGCAGTGCCGCGAGGTTGGCGGACGCGGAGCGTCCCAACACGATAATTTATCATTAATAATTCCTGGTGAGGGTAAAAAAAAATTTTTTTAAATACGCCTTCGGCAATTTCGAGACAAAGACACCGGTCGTCTATGCGTTTTCGCGGATCCAATGAATCATAAAACGACGCGACAAACGTTTTTCCAAAAATGGAGACGGACGGAAGCTCGCGAGCGCGCTTCGTCTCACCTACGAGACGCCTGCACGCGTGTCAGGTATAATTTACATCAAATCGATACAAGTCTTGCGACACGCGCTGCGAATGTCTGACTTTATTCACCGTCTATCAGACCATAAAGAATAAATCTCGCGTGACGCGTTCATTTCCCTTCTACTTCTCCTCGATGTATGCTTCGCGACAAACAACTACGGTAACGATTCTTAAAACGAACCCCAAATGTGATTCATAAGTTGAACGTTTTTATCCCTCCCAACTAGGAAATGCATCCATTTCTCTTTTTCTTCTTTCCGACGCCTGTTGTGCGACAAACAACTACGGTAATGATTCTTAAAATGAACCTAAGACGTGATTCGTGAGTTGAATATTTTTATGTATCTCACCTGGGGGACGCGTTCATTTCCCTTCTTTTTTTCCTTCTTCTCGACATTTGTTTCCCGGAAAGCAACAACAGTAATGATTCTTAAAATGAACCCCAAAACGTGATTCGTAAGGCGAACGTTTATATCCCTCCCAACTAGGAGACGTACTCATTTCCCTTCTTTTCGACATCTGTTTCGCGTCGAGCAACTACAGTAATGGTTCTTAAAATGAACCCAGACGTGATTCGTAAGTTGAACATCTCTAGTCCCCTTCCTTCTATTTTATCTTGCATAAAAATACAAGTTTCAATTATAGAATAGAATGTTTCGCAACAAATCAAAATTTAAATTCGATCGCAATTTGAATTATTGGTTATTTAATATTGGAGTAAAACTTTATTGCTGAATTATGTGCATTCTGATAAATTTTCTTTAAATTAATTGCTAAGTCGTTACTCGATTCAAACAATTTATTATAGTAAAATAAATAATATTATCTCGAAAATGACTCATTATATATAGACGAAATATACATTTTTACTAAATTGCTTGAATCGACTATCAATTGATGAAGATCTAATCGTGATTACAAGACCAGATCTATCGTTTTCTTCTCAAGTAATTAACAATATAATAAAATGTTCAAAATTCTTTGAACTAATTTGTTTTCGAGTACTTTCGAAGCCATTCGTGACTTGGCCAGTTTTTTATACAACTCTATCTAGATCCAATCGTGAATACGGAAATCCTATCTACAGAATACGCCAAGAAGCAAATTCATTTGCTGATCATTTCGATTTCTTCTCCGGTTTCATATCTTCTTTCAACAGCTCGTTACGTAAGCTAACCATACATAATTTTCTACGTGTAAAGTTGTTAATTCGATACGTTACTGTTCGATCGTTGATGTTTATAAATGTTTCGGGGACGGGGACTAAAATTAACGGTGATAAATATTAAAACTACATTTTTGAAAGCACCATTAGCATAAGATGTTCCATTGCTTTTCGTGGTATAATAACAATTTTTAAAATTTAAGAAAATTATAGCTCAACATTAAAATTGACGAGAAATATTATTTGTTACATTAAAAAGTTTTATTAGTTACTAGAAAGTTTGTCTAAAAAGCACTAAATGTAAATTTAATACATATTACATTGTTCTGTATGCGATTATACAATTTAATTAACCTCAAATAAGTAACAGACATTATAAAATAAAAATACTGCATTTTTAATACAAAAAAATTTATTAATTTGTAGTGTTAATATATGCCCCCAGATGGTCATTGATTTATGATGAAAGAACCTTAATACTTGGAAAATTGCAAATAACTTTAATTAGGAATGCTGTAAAATAGCAGGTACTCTATTATCAAATATTTCTATTTACCTAATATATAAAAAGCTATTAATAGTTCTAAAGGAAATCTAATCAAACACTACCATTTAGGAAAAATAATATATTAAATATATTTAATAATAGTTGAACTAGAAAGTACAACTGCTTTTCCAAAAAACGTTGATCTTAGCCACCGTCACCTCTAGCGACTCGTTAACGAATAAAGAAACATCTAAACTGATCCCTATCGAGTATCGTTAGCTGTATAACGAACAAAATTTAGGAAAGAAAAAATGACAAGAAACGGTAGCATGTAAGATATAGGAAACGAGAGAAAAACAACTTTCTAATATATTGAAATGTATTGAAATTTTGAAGGAAATTGTCTCGTATTCCTTGCGTGAAAAAGGAAACGAACCCCTCGATCGCACTGTACGTGCCGAAGCGTCGTAAAAAGCGACGTGCTTCGATCGGAACTCGAAGGACTCGCCGCGTTTATCGATCAGCCATTTGAAAGGCAGAAACGTACAAATCTGTCTTCTTACCCGATCGACGGCTCTTTGAAGGATCTGGCATTTGTCAGTCTTGCCAGAGCTCATGTCCGTGGCGGAAACCAGCTCGGCAATCTCATCGATAAAATGGCTCTCCAGGTTCCGTCGTCTTTTCTCATTAAGGCACTTGTTACTGTAAACAATCAAAACAGGCAATCACTGTCCGTTACACTCGTTAACAGTGGGAGATCAGATTATTATCACCGGATTAACAATTTATATATCTTATATTCGCGGTGGCATTATTGCTTCGATCATAGTAAATGTACTCTCACTTTTCTGACCTATAACGAACTATTTTTTATATAAATATTTTTGTTGAAAACTAAATGTTCCCTTTCCCACAAAAAATTTGTAAATGTTTATAATATCTATTTTATTTACTGAGTTCAGCTTGTGTTGCTGTAAGTAATCAAGTACATCACTGAATTAGTAAATATTTTTTTAAAAATCAAAAGTGTTCCCTTTCCCACAAAACTATCTAAACGTTCATAATATCTATTTTATTTACTCAGTTCAGCTTGTGTTGTTGTGAGTAATCACGTACATCATTGAACTAATAAATATTTTTGTTTAAAACCAAAAATGTTCCCTTTTCCACAAAAATGTTCAAATGTTCATAATATCTATTTTATTTACTCAGTTCAGCATGTGTTGCTGTGAGAAATCACGTACATCATTGAACTAATAAATATTTTTGTTTAAAACCAAAAATGTTCCCTTTTCCACAAAAATGTTCAAATGTTCATAATATCTATTTTATTTACTTATTTTGTTAATTCAGCATTTCATTTTGATTTTCTAGAAAAACAAATATAAAATATTTTGCATATATTCTTTTGCTACGTTTCAATTTTTATTCTGTCATTATTAAACTATATGTAAAACTGGGTCACGTTAATCATCAAAATAAATAAATAAATAAACTTTCCAAACATACGCCTCTGTTTGATCCGTAGCGTGATATTCGATAAAAAAAAATAGTGACACAATTTATTTTTTGTTTAATTTTGCTAATTCCTAGCTAGAAACGTGATGCGATTAAACTAATCGGTAACTTTGAGTAGCGAACTTTATTACAGTACGGTTGATTGCGTGTATGGAACCATCGCGTGTCGCGATGTCTAACTTGAAAGTAATTTTTCTCAAAACTAGTTCCCCTAAGCTGAAGTCTTTAAAAACTTCGACGCGAATAAACCGATCTTCACGAAATTTGGCACACGTACAAAGTAAACGTATCTTAATCGCCTAAAATGAAATCGTAACCCAATTACTTTTTTCTAATCAAAAGTTTATTTCTTTCCTTTTTGTACCAATTTGATACTTTTCTGTAAAAAAGTCTATTCCTACACTCGTACTAATCATGGAAATATGATACTTCAAAAGTGAGTGTATCTTTTTTACTTAAGCATCACGGTCGACATATTTCTTCGATAAATTCGTATTTCTTCACTGAAGAATTCTCTTCTTCAAGCATACGTAAATAAATATACGAAGCTTGAAAAAGCTATCACTCGTGTTTCGGTAAAAAGTTTCCAAAAAAACACGTGTTTTTAGTGCTCTAAACCAGAAAACCTCGTTAATCGATAATATTAATCACTCTTTAGGGTGATTAAGCTGCTCAGCGTTTGTTATTGATAGTGTCTCCAATATTCCCCTTATGTTTGATCAAACATTTTTTAAAGGAAGGAGGAATCAATCATTTAATGTTCAAAATAGAGTCGTAACGTGAAAACTTCTAATTACATCTGCGCCATTGGGAAATACATGCATCGGATACAACTTATACGTTACGAATTAATTTCTAAAAATAACACAAAACCAGCTTAATTCTCATTCTCAGATGCTAGCGTATTACTACGGTTCGCAGAAACTTTGTACGAGCTTCTGCGAACGAAAATGAAACAAGTTAATCTCGCCTTCTTTTATGATATCCTATATAAAGAACGAGAATATGGAAGTAACCTAATTCTCCAACTTTTTTAATTTATACCACTTTCGTTCTCATGGACGCACATGATGAGAGTGGGATAGGTTGTTATAATTGGTGGCTTCTTATTTCATTCATTCAGTAGTCTATTTGCAATATTACTAATGATACTCTAGAGCATACAGGGTGTTCGGGCAACCCTGGGAAAAATTTACATGAGCGATTCTAGAGGCCAAAATAAGACGAAAATCAAGAATATCAATTAGTTGATGGAGGCTTCGTTACAAAGTTATTAACGTTTAAAGTTCCGCCTGTAGAATGGCAATCCGTGTACAGCTGCGTTCACGCGGAAGGTTTGCGGCAGGCAAGTTCTAGTGGTTCTCACGCAGCATGAAAAATTCTACTTGCCGACGTTATCGACAGCCTTAGATTTTTGTCCACTTATAGAAACGCGAACACCTTACGTTGAATAAGATTCAACCTGTCTTATGAAAATCCAGAAGGGCATATCAAAACTTGATCGACGAGATTTTCACAGAGAAAGGGTGAATGCCAGTTCAATACACAATGTTGTGAACAAAAATCACCCACACGCGATTATACACGCCCCACGATTGTCCATAGTGTCCACAAGTGTCCACAAATAATCCTTTCAGGCATTAACCACTATGCAATTAAATAAACACGCACCGCGATTATGTTATTCGTGAATGTCTATGTGTACGTGTACCACGATTGCTCCGACTTACGAATAGAAATGTTATTAATTTTTCGAATACACTTCAATTTAAAAATGTAAAAAGGGATCGAGGGTAAATGAAATTTTCGCATCGATTTGCGTTCACGTCGAAGAATATAACGATGCTAGCAGCTGACTGTGCCATCGATCGACGAGGTTCAGAGAAACAAATGCCGAACAGGACCCTGATTCTACGTCACTAGCCTCGCTTATCACTCACACACACATACACACATTCTACACTCAGTGGAGACAAAGGACAGCATCGGCACGTGGTTCGGCCAGCTAGTCAGTCGTAAAAAAGAACCAGTCAAGACAGTTCACGCGACACATTTTAGACATATTCCATTCAGTTATGTATTAAGTAACATGTAAGAAATACAGTGATATAAACAATCAGCGAATGTTTATTAAATTCCTTTTTATATTTTTAAGTTGAAGTGTATTTGAAAAATTAATAACAGTTTTATTCGTAAGTAACTCGGGAGACTCGTGGTGCACATACAGATAGCCACTCACGAATAACATAATCGAGGTGCGTGTTTATGTAATTGCATAGTGATTAGTGCCTGAAAGGATTATTTGTGGACACTTGCGGACACTGTGGACGATCGTGGGACGTGTATGATCGCGTATGGGTGAATTTTGTGCACAACATTGTGTATTGAAAGTGACATTCACCCTTTCTCTGTGAAAATCTCGTCGGGCGAGTTTTGATATGCTCTTCTGGATTTTCATAAGACAAGTTGAATCTTATTCAACGTAAGGTGTTCGCATTTCCATAAGTGGACAAAAATCTAAGGCTGTCGATAACGTCGATGAGTAGAATTTTTCATGCTGCGTGAGAACCACTAACACTGGCCTGCCGCAACCTTCCGCGCGAACGCTGTACGCGGATTGCCATTTTACAGGCGAAACTTTAAACGTTCATAACTTTGTAACGAAGTCTCCATCAACTAATTGGTATTCCTGATTTTCGTCTTATTTTAGCCTCTAGAATCGCTCATGTCAATTTTTCCCAGGGTTGGCCGAACACCTTGTATACTTTTTAGTATTAACTCCTTAACGTACACGCTCGAGTTAATTCGAGCGCGCTAAACTGGCCAAACTGTGCACGCTCGAGATAATTCGAGCGGCGTTGTATTATATGCTGCTATAATTTTTCACACTCAAATATAGTCGAGAATTGAAAATAACAATGTAAAAGTGTAAATAAATATTTTTACTCTTAAAAATATGTTTTTTCCGAAATAGCAATTCGAAAAGAAAGATAAAAAAGTGGATGTACGTGTAACATTGCAATATTCGACTCCTTTCTGCAATGTGGATCAAAATCCCAAATTATAATAAAAATTTTGATTATTTTTGTATTTTAAACATTTTTTTACCAAGACAATGTCCTAAATTGTTTTTTTACAAAAAAAAAATTGATTTTTTTTGGCCGGTTTTTTTAAAAAAAACTGTGCGTTAAGGGGTTGATGTCCACAATTACAGTAAATCTCCCTATAACACGGTAGATTGGTTCCGCGTTATAGGAAAACGCGTTGTACGAGAATGCTCGTAAAGGGGGTTTAAATCGAATATTAAGGGAACACTATGTTATGAACGAAATATGTGCGTTTTAAAATCAAACTAAGAACATTTTAAATAAAAAACATATAATCAATGTTCTTACAATTCAAAAACTAGGAACACAAATTTAATGAAATAATTTTATTTTATTTTATAAGAACACAATTGACACAATGTGCAAACAAACGTACGCGAAATTGATTACGAACTGTACAAATAATTATAAATTTCACAGTACAGAAATATAACGTGGGAAATCCCCGCGTTATATGGGGGAAAACACGTATTATACGAGGGACATGAAATCGCGTAATATAAAAACGCGTTCTAAGAGTACTGTGTTATAGGAGGGATTACTGTATATTTATTTAATTCGAAAAAATTATGTTGCAATATAAGGCATTTTGTGTCAATGTGACGTGAAAAACTGACGTAGCAGTCAACGTGTTAAATATACAAATAATTTTAACGTCATAATAAAATAGTTTTATTTTATTTTTATTATAGATTAATTCTTCTCTCGCATTTTATAAATATACAATTTCTAATGTTATAATCAACGACAAAGTAATGTTTTTAGAAATACTACTGTTTAAAGCCCCGTTGATGACCAATACATTACTGAATTTATTGTGTGCATCGTGGATTAGGTGTACTAACGAACTATTGATGACCACAATTATATTTATTTAATTCGAAAAAATTAATTTTGCAATACGAGTCATTTTATGTAAATGTGACATAGAATACTGACGTAGCAGTCAACGTGTTAAATATATAGCATTGTTGGAAATGTTTCTCCTTCCCATGTTGGCAAACATGCATGTGCTGGAAATATTTCTTTTTCCCTCGTTGGCAAACGTGCACAATAATCTATTTTTTTTTAGTATAG